GGTCATCAGGGGAAAGTTAATAGAATGAGACTAGAGAATCTTAAGAAGAAATATGAGGAGAAAAAAGGGAAAGAACTGCTAAAAGATCAACTGAAAGAATGCAGAAAAGCAAAGAATATGCCATGATAGAAATCACTGCCGACCTTGAGAAGAGTCTACTTGGTGGACTGGGGTTGATAATTTCTTTAATTTAAATCAACATAGTTATTCTAATTTTTAAACTTGTAACTGAACAATATCCCCCTAAAGTAGTCAGGACTGATAAAGGCTCTATTTTTCATGGAGAAAATAGAGACACAATTGAATTGATTACCCTAAGAGCTTATTTTGTTCATGAGTAGCAATATTTTGATTTCTTTTAAACTTCATGAGATACAGCATTCATCAATTATCTTATTCTCCTGAAGAATTCGACATTAAACCAGAGAAGCTTATGTTCAAGGTAAAAATTCATTAAAACTAGTATCTTTCTTCACCTAGAACACTTCTATATAGCTAAGCAGCACAATGAAGCATTAGAGAGGCTCAAAACAACAGGAAGTCGATGATTAACGTAGACACATACACAAGCTAGATTTCCACCTGTTATTTCACACACTTGGAAGTCGCACCCCCACCTTCTTGGCCCAATTGCCAACGGCAGACTATATAATGAACCATCTGTACCATAGCAGTTAGAGCCAATTGAGATGGGTTGATAATACCAAAGAAATCTCATTTTTACATTCTTTTACCCCATGCGTATTATTAGACTGAGTAACATTTTAATTGCATGATAAATTGAAAGCATTGGCAGGAACTTAACTTTTCTAAAATCTGAGCTTTTTAATTCTACTTTGACAGTCTTCGTGGTGGATTTCTTTGCTGCTATCCTGCAACAGAAGGAAAGGTTGACCCCACAAACCAAACCACTGGGAAGCGAAACCTATAGCTAGGTGGTGGTAATAGAAAAGACAAAAACCTTTTGCCAGTCTCTTATGATTTAACTGAACTATCCAATTATGTTTTTTTCAAGGGGAAGCTGAAATGCAGATCTCACTGTAGTCCTTGAACTAGTCAGATTAATGAAATAACTGAAAAGGGATGACAGTTTTTAATGGAAGATGGGTATGATTTCCTCTTTTTATTGCTACTGAAATGTTAAAAGCATTTGTCAGAAAAACTTTTGCTGCTATATGAAACAGCATCAAACTTTCACAAAAACTAGTTGGCTGATCCATGCTCTCATCAAATGTATAATGTATCACCTCTACTAAAATAAGTTTTTTAAAATATTATTTTAGTTGTCAGTGGACTTTATTTATTTATATGGGATGCTGAGAATGGAACCTGGTGCCTCACACATGCTCTACCATTGAGCCACAACCCCAGCTCCACTAAAGTACTTTTTAATGATTATCATGAACTTGATGTCTTTGCTAACTGTTTCTCTCATGTAACCAGAGATACTCCTCCTGTCTTGCTGAATAATGTAAGTGCAATAGACTTGTGCTTGAGACAGGCATATTTCAATGAATTACCTACAGGATGGGAAGGTTAGATTACAGTGATTCTTTAACTACCTCAAAGAATAAAATTTCTCTGCAGCTAAACTGGATTATAAAATGTTTTTTCAATTATATATAACAGTTTCCTCCTGGGTCAGACAGTACAATGGCAACTCTTCTGCTTCATAAAACTTGTATACAATGAAACTGCAGAGAAAAAAAAATATGCAGAGTCTTGACTTTCTTAGCCCATTAAGTCTCTCAAGTTTTCAATTCTGTTAACATAATAAATATTCAAATAATATTCCAAAGCCACAATAAGTAGTATAGTTGTTGCTCAACTTCAGTTTCCTTACATGTTCCATGTCTGGGACAATGGGACAAAATAACAAACTTGAAAGTGAATGGGAACCTATAAGGCTGATATTGAATATCAGTGTCCCACCTCCTTTTAGGGCCCTCCTCCCTCTCAATGGTGACCTCTCTATCCTACTTTACATTTCAACTGTCCTCTTCACTCTGTCACTAACTCAATTAGTCTCTATCAAAAAATTATTGCACTAGGCACTGTATGAACCACAGGAAATAAAATGTTGCAGAACTTCTGTTTTATGGCAACTTAAGCAAGTGAGCTTTGACTTATAGTATCCAAATACTCAGAACAGTAAAAATGTGTCATGAACACATTTCAGGGCCACAACCCCACAATATGTGTGTGTTTGCAGAAGACTGAGGAGAGAAAGAGCCAGGAAGGAAACTTATGAGAATAAGTAATGACTAAATTTAACCTAAAAAGCTAATCATAAGTAGGATTTAGTCATAAAAGATAACACAAGGATAAACGAAATGTGTGTGAAAACTCTGAAATCACAGTACTAGAAATTAACACTGGAAGGGACATAAGAAGGTATATCATTCACTCTATGGTAGACACATTTTTAAACACATACTTTCACAACCACCTCATGGGATAGGTCCCATTACTTTTATCCCCTTTCAGAGAAAAGAAAAGGAGGCAGAGGGGTCATGATACTTGTTCAAGGATGTGAGGCTAGTAGTAGAGTTAGATTTTAAAATGTGAATAGTCTGAGCTCAGAATCCCTTACTCTGCATTACCATGCCACACTCTCTAAAGAGATCATGGAAAGCTGAGGGCATCTGAAAATTGGGCCATGTGGCTACAGCACAGAGTGTTCACTACACCTATTGTATAACAAAAAGAAGAAAGTGTGAGGAAACAGCCATTTATCCTGGTAGCTAATAATCCTTGATCTGGGTGACTGACAGTTTCTACTGCTGACCCATTAATTATATGGTCTCTTTTCATCTCAAAGCATCACATGAAATGCTTCACTATGGTGTGGAATATGGATACAATAGGAGGTTATATGGGGTAGAGCAGGGGACATATAGGAACTCTGTATTTTCTACTGAATTTTGGTGTGAATTTAAAACTGCTATTAAAATATTTATTAATTTAAAAACAATAAAATCATCAGGAGTCAAACTAAGGGGCAGGAGGAGGGGGTGAGGCTTTGTCACCATTAAAAGAATTTAATATAATAGAAGACAGGTAGAAAAAAACATTCCTTAACCACCACTGCAGAGAGACCAAAATCAGGACATTTTAAGGAAGATACATTAGCCCTAGATATCCTGCTATAACTCTAAGTGACATTTAAAGCATGATCCCAACTCCAACAAGAACATGTGTTGTTACCATCATTTTATCCACACTTGGCCGCCCTCCCTACTCCCCTGGGAGGTGGCTGCCTGCTAGACCTGGGTTGTCCCCCTCTTTAACTGCTTGTCCAACCACAGAGCTGGTCATTCACAATTTTAACTATTCTCTCTGTACTCCTCCAAGAAACACACTGCATGCTTTCCAAAATGTATGCTAACATTTTAAAATTAAATAAAATATTGGCAGGCTAATCTCATTTTCCCAGTACCTTAGAACATATTTCAAGGCTTTCACTTTGGGTTACCATATATATAAGCAGTGGAACAATTACTATGATATAAGTGAGTGAGCAAAGCTATGTGAAAAAAATTAGAGATTATTAGACTAATCAGTCTAATACATTATTATAAGCCCATGTGGAGGTGGGATGACAGAAGTCTTCAACCAGAAAAGGTGACTGGTTACTTCACAGTACTTTGATGTGGAACTATGATGAGTCTTAAAAACTAAATATTTAATTGTGCAGGCTAGTCACTGAACAATGCTTCAAAGTATCAAAAACTAAAGTGTCATACCTGCCCCTCATGAACAAAATCCAGAATTCTAAAATAATTACAATAATTACTCTCTTCTCTTCTCTTAAGTCCTCTAACAATTCTATACATACAATCTACTTAGTTACTCCTATGTACTTCCTCACATTGTTGGTGAGGTGTCTGTGTCTCTGTGGGTATATGTATAGATGTGTGAATACAGACATCTCTGTGAGTAATAAAACTGACAGTGGTCAAGTCTCTTTCATAAAATTGTATAGTATTTGTCTGTAACCTGTACATTTATTGTTATTACCTTAAATTATCTGTAGATTACTTATAATATCTAATATGATGAATAGGCTATATAAGTAGTTGTTATACTGCAGTGTTTAGGAAACAGTGGCAAAAAAAAAAAAAAACTCCTATAATTATTCAGTATAAATGCGACTACATGCAGAACCCACCATGGACTGTGGAGGACTGACCACAGACAGACAGACAGACAGACAGACACACACACACACACACACACACACACACCTTACTTTCACAACTGAATCTTAAGGTTTTATCTTTTATTTCTTTGTACCCAACTTCAGTTCTTTCTAAATCCTATGATGTCTTACACTTAGCAGGAACTCACGAATCTTTCTTAATTAATTAATTTATCATAATTACCATTTTTTGATCCTAAAAGGAAATGTTATTAGTTTGATTTTTATTTATTTATTTTATATTTCATTTCCAAACTATTTTCCTCTGCAGATGTGCAGTAAAACACTCTAGTAACCACATATGGGTAAGAAGAATCCCATGTATCCCAGTCATATGGATTAGACCATACTACATAGAGGCATCCTTCTTCCCTTTAAACAATGACAGAGATTGTATTTGCTCTTTTCCAAATCTCACTTATGCTTGCCATATTATTGAAAGTGTTAAAAAGAAAACAATAACAAAAGGAACAGTAACAGTGGCTACCACAGAAGACTGGCATTCTACTGGACGGTGATTGGACTTGTATGCTAGCTAAGCAAGAAGAGCCTAACCACTTCTCTGTCACTTAGAATCCCTGTTTGAATGGTAGCATATCTGGAAGTCTTCTGACTGTACTAATAGTTTTATTTGCTTGGCAGGAGAGGCTGGGAAACGATAGAAGGAATAGAATATCAAGTCTTTAAATGTATTGCTCTAGAAAGAATCTTCTGAATGCAGATCATGAATTCTTATGCTATAAACACTTCAGATCTTCCTCCAGAAAATTAATATTTTTAGAGAAGGCCCATTACCTACCTTGAAGTTCTCCACTCCGACTATAGAGTTCCCTTCTCTGCTCCCGCAAATAGGCACTCATACTGATAGCATGAGAGGACGATTCAAACCTGTAGTGAAACACAGGAAATGAGTGCTTAGTTAGGTGTGTCCAGTTCTGGATTTCCAAAAGCATTCTACTCTGGTCTGTGTGATGTTTGATCATCATGAAATTTTGGCTATATGGAGACAAGGCCAGAGACAGCTGCTCAGAGACCCCGGTTTATGAATGATATTCCAGGATAATCTCCCCTATAACAGTATTTATATTTTTTTTTGTTTGTCCTCCATTTTAACAGATACAACTCTGATCTGCCTCTGAAGGCAAAGGCCTTCAGAAAATGATCAAGCTTTGCCTGGATTAGTACACATCCAGAAACAAGACCATGCTATAAAGTCATTCTAATTATGCTATTACCTAGCTCAAAACCCACCAGTAACTGCCAGTTGCCACCACAGGCTTATTTACCTCTCAGAGCAGAACTCATACCTTTCTCATTTCCTCAGGTGGAGGATTAGTACAACAGACTTCACTATAAATGATGCTGAATAATGAAATCAAATAAGTAAGGCAATTTTGGCATTTTGTTCTTAAATGCCTTAAAAATAATGTCATCAAATGGCTATAAATTTTTTGATCTGCCACTTACCACCACATAAAATATTCTCAAAACTACCATGCTACCAAGTGTTTCCAACGGTTGAAAATATGAGAGACAGATTTACAATATAGAATGGGTTTATAAAGCTGAAATAAACAAAACAACAATGACAAACCAGTTTCAAGGAGAAATATACAAGTGAGGAACAGAAAACAACCTGTTAAACTCTGACTATATCAAACTGTAAATCCCTTAATATGCTAAGAGATTCCATTTTGAACCTGAGAGTTTCAAAGGCAGGATATTAGGCTGATAAAGAAGGTATCCTTCTAAGAATGACTGAGGTGTAAAAAACATGAAAGAGCAGAGTGATAATGGGATAGGTCTCTGGCAACATGAAAGGAGCAGCATCATTCCCTAATTAGGTCTCTATATCCATTCCTAACAAGGAAGAGGAATACCAAGACTGTAGTGTGTGAGGCAAATACTTGGGTAATTTGATTCTCTCTCTGCACCCTACCAAGAAGGAAGGAAGGCAAAGAGTTCTGCACATCAAAAGTGCCACCTGCCAATAAAGTGCAGAAGAGAAGCCACTGACCTCCAAAAAGCATGCTGACAGCTATTGATCAGAGATGGCAAGGGAAAAAAAATAAACTCTTGAGCAAAGAATACAGAGGCACACTTTCAATAGTAAGACAGAACTTAAATACACTTAATTAACCTTGGCTGAGGGCAATTAAAGAGGGTAATAAAGTCCTTCATAGATGTGATAAAAACAGATTACAGCTCTCCAAAATCTTAATCCTTTGTGACTGAATATATTTTTACTACTCAGGATTTCTTTTTATGTTTGCAACAAGTCACAGATTGATATAATTTTATAGTAAAAGAGGGAATAGAGGTTACTCAGTCTCACCTTCTTATTTTATAGCCAAAGGCACTGAGGCCTAAGACAGGAGACCTGCTCAGGCATGCACGGCTCATTAATGGTGGAACCAACACCAGAAACAGGCAAATCTGTAATAACTGTATAATTCTGTGCTAGTGCTGAGTTTTTATCATTGTCCCATAATAATACATGTATAACAATTACTTAATTTAATTTGATCATTTCCAATAATTTGTTTGTTTTCCCCCCAATACCACAAACACAGAATAGTGGCTAAATGTTTGAAAATGTACACATGGTCTGAGGTTGAAAGTTAGAGGTGAGACCTAAGTGCTTGAAATCTAAAAACCCTGAAGATTATTTTCTGCAATAAATCTACATTCTAGAATGTAATAAAGGGGAAGAGAGGTGGAGGGGAGGAAAAAGTCTGGTTATGCTGCATCTCAGTCTTAGTTGCCACAATCAACCACTTCTTCCTTCCATTATATTTCTTACTTTATGCCATATCCCCAGTTCCATCTGGTGTTTTACTTTCTTACTCCCTCTTTATTTAGCTATGCACTCAAGAAAAGTGGCTCCCTCTCCAGTTGGAAACTTAGTACCAGAGATGAATTTGCCTGGTTTAAGACAACTTCAACTTCCAAGAGATTGGTTTAGAACTGAGCCAAAGACCCAATTCTAGAACCTGAGGGGAAATAGGAGAGGGGATATGCTACTGTTAGAAAAATATTAACAAGTGGATAATTAGTTATTACTAAAAACATTTGAAGATTTTAGACTATGTCTTACAAAGTTAGTTAGTCATAGCATGTAATCTGTCAATAATACTCCTAGATATTAACTCAAATAAGTACAAACCTGTACATGGGTATTTATATCAGGCTTTATTCATAACTGCCAGAAGTTGAAAGCAACCAAGATGCCCTTCAACAGCTAAATAGATATATCAGTGTTGGTACATCCACACAAGGAAATATGACTCATCAAATCTAACAAGCCATTAAAAGAAGTAGAACAATCAATTCATACTGCTAAACAAAAGAAACCAGTCTGAAAAGATTATGTAAAATATGGTTCCAACTACAGGACATGAGGGAGAGGTGGCAAAACTATGGAGACTATAGAAAGATCAGTAGTTGTCAGAAATTAGGGAGGAGGTATGGAAAAGTAGGTAGAGCACAGAAATTATTTAGAGCAGTACAACTGTTTTGTATGACACTGTAATGGTATACACATGATATTATACATTCCTCAAAACCCCTTAGAATTATACAACACAAACAATGAACCCTGATGAAAACTAAACTATTAGTTAATAATAACATAACAACCATAACAGATATATCATACTAATGCAAAATATTAATAGGGAAAACTGCGGGGAGAGGTAAGAGAACACTCTATATTACTTTATTTACTTTTCTCTATAGCTAAATCTGCCCTAAAAAAATTAGTACATATATTAAAATGATTTTAAAAAGATGCACAGGAACTAACTCATGCTGTTTCCTTGGCATCACCCTCTTGATTGGAATGGAACTGATGCAAACACATTATAATCACAATAGAAAACACTACTTATTTCTCTGGTAAACGGAGGTAGAGACACAGAAAGGGCTGGGTGCTTTATGATATTGTAGCAATGAATAAGGAAATCTCCATATTTCTCTACATGGTATGAAATAACGACTTCCCTATAATTCCATCTGTTCCATTTAACATCTTATATTACTTGCAGCCCAGAGCATTTAAACAGATACTGCATCTATTCAAGGAGTAAAACTATTTAAAAAGAATTGCAGGGGGAATCCAAGATGGTGGGTCAGAGGGAAGCGGCATTCTATGTCATCCCACGACCCAGGTCTCAACTAGTAGGAATACTGATTTGCTGAGAGTGATAGAGGACCCCTCCATAGCTGATCCTGGGCATGAATCATGGCCACCATGCTGTGAAAGGTCCCAGGCCTCAACATTAGAAAAGGATTCCTGACAACTCGCCCACTTAGGTCTCATGGGTGACTTAATGGGACCACCGGCATCAGCACTTGCACAGAATTCCCAGACACCACTTCCACAAAGGACACTCATCCAATACGCACAAGCAGGAACTCTAGCCGCCACCCCCATGTGGACCCCCGTCTACCAACATGGGGCTCCTCTGGTCACCTCTATCTTGGGACTTGGCAATTACCATCATAGTCCACTACTCGTAGCAGTCTGCCTGCACCTGGGCACATCACAGGCTCTGAAGAAGCTGACAGCTGAATACTGAACATCACAGAGCTCATCTCTTAACGCATCGAACAGGCTCCCCCCACCCAACCTGATGCCTCATCCCTGAAAGCAGCTGCCTCCATCTTGAGCTACCTCCATCACCATATTTAGTTGGAGCAACTTCCAGTTTTGAACACCTAAGAGCCAGGTACCCATAGTTTTTAAATTCACCCCAATCCCAGCAGCCGCTAACTCAGCAGAGCAACTGTCCAATTCAGAACTGCCCTAGGTGACAGACGGTCAGGCACCAGAGTGCAACACACAAGACCCCTCCCTCCCCCCAGAGAAAGGTTCCTGATTAGGAAGGAGAAGGGAGAGCGTGAGGGAGACAGCTTTAGAGACTAATTTAGAGGGCAAGAACTATGAGGTCCATAGGGAAGACTAGAGATAAGACCTGGAGCCCACATCACAGAGCAGACCTCAAAGGAGATCTTTCAGGTGCAGCCTCCCAACAGGACCAGCGGGTGCCATAGCCCACTTGCAGGTGCCCTGAGCCCAAGACCAACCAACCCTTACATCCTTGGAACCCCCATCATCCTGGGGGCAGAGATACCAACTAAGAACAGACAACCCCACCTATTGGGTGAGAAGGGAAGCAAAAAACACACTGATCTCAAACCAAACAATCCTTGTTTCTTCCTTGGAGATGATTTTTTTCTTTCTTCTCCCTCTTTATTCTACCGCCATCAGATCCCCAACATATGTGAAACCAAGCACTGTGCATGAATTAAGATATAGAGCACTAAGACAACTGAATAGTATATTACAGTTGTGTGGTATATTCTTTCTTCTTTTGTTGTTGTTTTTTTCTGTTTTCTCTCCAATTTTTACTATTTTAACATTTTTTATTTTTCTTAATATATATGTGTGTTTGTTTAATGTACTTTGTCTTCCCTCTTACTTGTCTGCCTAAAATTACTTCCTCTCTATTCTCCTGCTACTAACCTTCTTCTTTAGATTTCTCTTTCACACTTCCTGAGATATAATAACTCTATATCCTCACCTCATACCTCCTCAGCATATCTTCCTACACCTCATCCCCAGTTTTTGCCCACCATCAGAAACTGTAAACCCTTTTACAAACCTACTAATTATATTGTAGATAATAATTTAATTCACCATTTCTATACATTGTGACCAATCGGTAAATGTCTTAATATCAACTCTTTGTTTTTAGGTGGTATTTTGTTTATATTGGGATCTGTTAACATTGTCTTCCCCTCAAAGGAGAGATATTGAAACCCTTCAAGGCACTATAAGCCTTCAGGGTAAAAACAGTAATGCCTCAGATCCACGAAGATAGAAA